CTTCGCAACCTCGGATGTTCCATGATAGTTTTGGAATTGGTGCACGTACGATCGACGCGGTCCAATTATCTCTTCAAGATGCTGTGTGCAATGTTTCATCTGTAAATGCTTATTTTAAAAACACAGTCGTTGAAGTAAGGCAGCATTATAAAATGAAAGAAACGGCAACAACAAATGGCCCTAAAGGAACTGTTTCCGGCAAAACACAGGAGTCATTGGTACTTCTCGAACGAGGTATGGAACAGCTACGAGATAACGTTAAGAATGTAAACAAGGACTATCTTGATGAAATTGACATGCGTACACTGCTAACAACTCAGGTGAGAACCTTCATGCAGTCTCCCACTTCAAAAACGAGACTTTCACTGCTCTTTAGTATGCTCAAGACTTTGAAACAATTTCAAAGGAATCTTTAAAGAGAACAACGAAGTGGGGTGCGAAGTACTTCACACTTGAGAAGTCTTATTATCCGGTGCCTAAATCCGGTGTGGAGTTACGGGACGTAGATTTGATGAAAGCCCTCCAGCTGGTAACGTTGATCCCAACATTGAGGCAGCCATGAAGGAATTGGTTGACAGGTATCGACCTGTCAGGCAAAGGACGGTAAGCAGCGAATCAATAAAAGACAAAGCGGGAGCCCTGCCGCCAGCTGTATATTCCAGTACGCCATCGTAAACTAGAGTAACATTCCGAAAGGATGTTCAAGACGGTCCAGGGACAGGAAATGAAGAACGAGTGGACCAGGATACAAATATTCCACGATTGGGACTATCAGGACAATCAGGACTATTCAGGCATGAAACATAATTAAATGTTTTTGGCTAGGATGGAGTGACATGTCTCATTTTTGTTGACCATTATACACTGTGAGTGCAGTAGCCGATCATCTTGGTAAAAGAAATATTCTGTTATTACATTCATTACTAGTCAAATTTAAACACTCATTCATGTTAACTTTCATAAATTACTTTTGTAATTTTCGTATTTATCTCTTTTTGTTTACAATGCGGATATTCCAACTGGGACCATCTCACAAAGCTAACCAATCATATTGAGGTATTCATACAACGGATGACAATCCGTAAATTTGCTTAATGTTACTGTTTATTTCGATGTTCTATCTCATTGGCTGTTTGATTTGAATATCGTAATCTGATTTGTTACTGATATATTTTCTGTAAGTGGTCACGGTTGGTGTATCCTCACTGTAAAAGCGCTTTAAGAATAGAACTGTTATGAGTTATACAAGCCAAATCTGTGGTAGTCTTCAAATATCGTCGGTCATAAGTCAGTGGACATCTTTGGCAGTCTCAGTGGACATCTTCGGCAGTCTTTGGATATCTTCGGCAGTCTTTGGACATCTTCGGCAGTGTTCGGACATCTTCGGCTGCCTTCAGACATCTTCGACTGCTTTCGGACATCTTCGGCAGCTTTCGGATATCTTCCTCACTCTTCGGAAGTCTTGAAATAATCCCGAATTGTTGTGAAAATGACCAAAAAAAACCTCTTTGATACAATAAACATGGGCGCAACATAGATTTTCTTATTTTAGGGCGTGGTTTGTTTGTGTATGGGAAAAAAAATAACATTACAACGAATTTTTTAATGTTAGTGTTAAAATAGCTAAAAATTAACTGTTTAATGTTATACAGCCAAAAATATTAGTGTTTAGTGTTATCGAAGTACCCCCATTCAGACCTTCAAATTACACTTGTGATGTACTTTTAATAAGACAAGCAAACTTATGATAGGCAAAAATAGTGGACAATAAATCTTAAATAAATCTTGTGTACACAACTGTTCCTGTTCTTAAACTTGCCTATTTGTTGATCAGTATTTTGATGACACTTTACACCTTTTTGTGGTGCATGGGCAT